AACTCAACCTACATCGGGAATCAATTTCTTCCTATCACGATTGAAGGCCATATGAGTCAATCTAATTGTCTAATGTTTACCGATTTAATATTATCGAGAGAGAGGATTTTGATTCGATCTCCTATGACGTATCACACATATACATATTTAATATATATCTATATCGCATTTAGTATATATACATATCTAATAGGTGTACCAGTAATCACACTAGATGATCATGGATCACAACATAATGTGATCAAGCTTGAGCCAATGGGCCCAATCACTCACATCACGATCTGTGTGTGCATCGGCGCATCTCCATGCCCTGTGATCATCCATCTCATTCTCGTCGGTTCCGCTGGCATCTCAATGCATATCCATGTATCGCGATCATCTTAGGACGACAAAATCACTATCTAACAATAAGGCATCATCAACCATCCTATATTCCGTAAGCGGATCAATCAATGAACTCATTTTCCAATTAGCACCTGAATTGTTTCCCTAATGTCCCTACATGAGCAGCTATGAGACCAACCGCTTCTATCACAGGTATATAGTACACTAGTCTGTTCGGTTATCTCGATGTCCCTCTCGACCTATGTCCAAGATTATTTAGGGTTTGTGTTTAAAGGTGAATCGGTTTATCGTGATTTCATCACGATCCAATTCTCACTGCACAGATCTATGGACATCACAAAATATATATATGCAACAAAGAATAAAAAATAATAAAATATTAAATAATATAATAAACAAAAAGAGTGTATACATTGTCATATATGTCATTACTCACATGATTGACTTGTAAGACACCTATGACTAGCACAAAGATCCTAAGACTTGAATAGAGTCTTGAACTCCAAAATTCATAGTATTTGCTTGAGAAAAAGGGGTTAAGGGGTTGAGATATAAAATTATTTTTAAAAGCTATAATGTCATGTTTAGATTGAAACCTAACTTAGAACGCTTACACGATATTCTTAAGTACATACTCTACCTTATTTCATGAACTATAATCTTATTTATAGGACATAGTGGTAATTACATAATTCCATCATGTCAATCATGATTGAGCTAAGTATAGACACTACCCTTATAACTCCTTAATCATGGGTCATTATTTAGAACATGCATATAACTATTTAAAACATAACAACTATCTACATAATTATTATGTATCTATTAAAAAAAACAGTATTTCTAATGAAAAACGAAAGCAAAAAAGTTTTTATTTTCCCTTTCTCTCTCCCAGAAGTTTTAACATTGTTGAGTGTTGTCTCGATTCAGAAGCTTCAACTTTATTTGATGTCTCTAACTAGATCAAGAAACTTCTTACATCGGACTCCTCGGCCGTATCCTTATTTCTCCTGTGAAGTTTGTGACCTGCAGTAATGGCAGTTTTAGAAGCTGTCAGAATTGAAGAATCATCCACTACTACAAGCTTATGGAATGTGATGACTCCTCCTTCGGCCTCTTTTTTAGCCCAAACTAAATCCTGTTTTAATCTTAGAAATGATAATGGAAAGATCAGAAAGCTTCAGAAGCGATTGGAGCCCATGAATGAGTTTAGCAAGGCATTGCGAGTTCTTGTGGGAAATGCGAAGGCGTGAGAATCTTCTTGAACTAAACCCATGGGGTCAACCCGACCAGTTCAAATCGACTTGTTGGGTTGACGGATCGGGCCAGTTAAGAGATTTTTACCTACCGAACCAGATCGACCCATGGGGCCAACCCAATCCATACGAGACGACTCATCGGGTTCACGGGTCGGAGTCAGTTTAGATATCTTAACCCACCGGTGGGTTGGGCGGAAATCTTGAATCGAATCCATGTGGTCAAAATAGCTCATTGATCAGTCAATCAAGAGACCTTATCTATCTGACTCATTCAAATTGGCTCATTGGGTTCATGGATCGGATGGGATCAGTGGAGAGACATCATTAACCTATTGGTGGGTCGAGTAAAATCGTTCCGTGAGCGTTATAAAATAATACTGTATTATTATTTGTAATTATTTTAAAATTACTTAATTATTATATCTCGAATGATTGATTATTTTCCAATAACAAAAATCCATGATTATGAATAGTGTCACAAATGTTCTCATATTCTGCAACAACAATAGAGTAATCTAAAATGTGGTTATGGCATAATATGCAAGCATTCACCATTTAGCTTGTAACACAAACATTTTCTGAATTGACAGGTTAGCAATGCTAATAACAGTAGCTTTGAGGAACGAAGGCGGTGTTCGTGTTATCGTTCACGTAGTTAATGATGTTTGCAGTGTCAGTGTCGGTGCAGATTACCATGTTGCAATAGCCCTCCGGCTCGGCAAAATTGAGGGCTTCCAGAATTAATTGCCAATTCTTGTGCTATGGTAGCGTTGTGTGCTGTGAGTCGCAATCGTCGATCCATTGGCTTCCTTGATGACGAAGCCAATACCTGCAGAATTAAAGGAATGGTTGTGATAACCATCACACTCAATAATAAAGTCATGTTCAAAGTGAGAGGAGGAAGACATAAATACTATTTAAGGATTCTAATGGAATTGGGTTTGTCCAGCATCTTGCATTCCTTATCTCAGGAACTATGCTCTCGAGAGTGAAAAACCGGAAATAAGATGTTTGCTTTAAGTCAGAGGTTCGACCAAAATTTTTGGGTAGTGTAATATATAATGGCTACAATCCAGTGAGAAGTCAGGATGAGACAACATCATAATTCTATAGATTTTCTTATAAAAATATAAAATCAGAACATGAGCAAATAACTCTCACGATATAATTATTATATAATCTAAGTCATAATTAATCAACCCATAGGATATATATATATATAT